CCCCAAAAAAATCATAATTTTTTGTGTCTGTCCAATATTGCAATTTTTTTTGGGGGGGCACAAATAAGAAAAAAATCCATTCATCTATTGTTGACCTCAGTAAGAAAGAAAATGTATTTTTCCTGCTATAGAAATACCTTGTGCTAATGTCTACATGGGGAGATGTGGAACAGTGCAGTTAAAGCTGTCAAGGGCAATTTTTCTTACAGACTTAAGTGTTCCGTTACTTAAAAAAAGACAAAGCTGAGAAAAATAGAGAAACTTGAATTCAAATCTTCTTTAATGCAACATTATGGCTGAGAATTTCAAAGCTGTAAAAGTAGGAAACCCAGAAGTACAGAGTCTACATTATGCACATGGATTGGCTAAAAGAAAAGAAGCAAATCACCACTGCAGAAATCCAAAGGGCTATTAACTTTTGGGACACTTTTAGGGTAGATTGGGGCCCAGGGGCAGTTGGTCAGATGAAAACAGCTACTTGCTCCACACTGCAACCCTCACTGCAGTAGAAAACTTTCAGAAGGTTTGACTTTATGAGACCACTCTCATTCTCTTAGGGACATGAAAATTTATTTGTATGGACCTGAAATTTTTTTGCCCTCTAGCTGACAGAGAAATCCAAGTAGAGCCTTCATTTCAAGCCACTGTCTATATCCCTTTGGATAAGAATCACTGTTATGAAAACTGGGACTGCTTTTAAGGTCAAGATTTAGGATGCTAAACTCCAGGAGACAGATCCTTTTCACTAGTACATGACAAAAGAAGGCTCAGTGATTTGCTCTGCCAGCACCTGCATTGGCTCCCTTTGCCATCACACAAACATCTGCGACTCAAAACCTGGAGGTACAAAAGGGGGAAAAGACAGTTTTGTGTTTTTTGAAAATACTCTGTAGCTCCGCAGGGTCTCCAGATGACCTTCAGGGAATTTCGCATGCATGGGAAATACAGTCATCTTGCATGTAGTACTGAGATAGCAAAACCTGCCCATCACTGCAGAAGTGCTCTAAGACTATTTCTTCACTGGTGTGTTCTCAGTTGAGCACCACAACTTTCTCTAAACTTCCAAAAATCCTTCTGCCCCCAGAGGAACATAACAGGGAATGGCTGTGCAGTAAGACAAAGGAAGAATGCAAATTGACTAAACAAGATCTGTAATGGTCATTATGCAAGGTCTATGAGAGCTCTGTTCCTCTCTTTACTGTCTCAAGAGCCCTGGATTAGCCTCAGAATAATCTTTTCTCCTCTCCCTAACCAGTCACACCACAAGGTACTGTCTTTATGAACTCCATTAATTCATAGAAGCAGGACTTCAGACACTCCCCACCCCTTTGTCACTCCCTGAAATACAGTCTCTCTAGCATTTCTTATAACTGTGCAATAAAACCGAAGATTGACACCTCTTCTGAAATGAAAACATGGGCTGGAGACAGGCCAGGCACACCAGCTTGTCCCATTTTATTAGAGCCTACACTAGAAGAGAGCATTAGTCTCTACTTGTCTCTGGATGGCAGTCAGGACAGAGACAAGTTACAAGGCTTAGCTGAAGGTGAAATTCAATTCCATTCTCACATAACATATAAGCACAAATTCTTAAACAGAGCACTAGGGAATAAATTTGCCCATTCCTCTTCAGGTAAAGCTAGGTCATGTCCACAAGCTCCAGCACAAGTTCTCTCTCTGCTTTGTGATCCTTCACTGAACAAACCCACTCCCACTCCAAATTACATTAGATGATGGCTGGAAACCCATCATTAAGAATAATCTAATAACAACATCCTCCAAAACTGGGAAATATAACATAGTCTCCTGTTCTGTCACTGTGACTGTGCAGAACATCATGATCAGTACCTTCTCCAAAGGGAAAGTAAAATTCAAAGACAAACAGCAACATGCTTTATGAAAAGCATGTTGAGCTGGCAAACTTAGAGCTCTGAACATGACCAGAGGCTGAAGCATGCTGGGGATCAGTGTTGATTCAAGTAGTAGGTGTCAGCATATCAACTCTGTACAGATTTTTTGTTTTAACTTGCAAGATGCACAGGTAGGAAAAGGTAATCAGGCATGTCTTTTAAGTACCTATGATGGACTAAAGAACAAATCTAAAAGCCCATTTTGCTTTTGATGTTTTGTGGTTGCCCCTTCACAAACATGACCATCTGCAAACTACTTCTTATCAAGCACCTCCCAAAACAGAAACACTTCTCTGGGTCATTTACAGCAGGACTGACAGCAAGACCACCAAAGATAATCTTCAGTAAACCTAGTTATTAGAACAGTGTAACCTGTTACAAATTCACATACACAACACAGAAGAATGAAGATAATCTCCACACCAACCTTTCAAATGTGAATTGATACAGATCTCTCCATTAACTGCACCAGCAGAAGACTGCAACAGCTCCACAAGATGCCTCTCAACACTGCTGCAGTCAGAGCAGGTCTCATTAGAAAATTGATGCAACAACTAACAGGCACTAGAGGCTCAGCCTTGAACCAAGCTGTCAGAGCACCACAGGGTCCTCCACTGCATCACAGAGCTCAACTTATGTCTCACAGATTGTTGTACTTATTTTTCTTCAAGCCCTAGCTCTTGGAGGACAGTGATGCCTTAAAACAAAACAAGGTCTCATATTCTCTTCTTTTTTTCTTTTTTTTTTTTCTTAACCGACATGTATAGATGCAGCTACATAATGGCTTTAAACTCCACTGCATTTTTTTTTTCTGTCCCCTAGAAAGAATACAGAAAATTGTCTCAGGCTGTGTTTAGATGCCTCAGATTAGCAATGCTACAGCCAGAATAGCACAGAGCCCTCTTGAATGGCTATTGCTAGTACTTGCAGGTGCCATAAGCCCTTTGCATTCAAGAATACTGTATTTACATTCAAACACAAATAAAAATAAATCCAACTTGATTCACACACTCTTACATCAAGAGAACAAGGGGTATTTTTAGAGCAACAGCTTAGCATTCGCAGCACGCACGGCAATCTTGATTAAACAAGAGATCTGCACCAACATAATAAACCTGTAATTTTACAGGCCAAGCAGTACAAAAACAATTTAGAATACATGGATTGCAGTGTTAAGCAAACTGCAACCCATGTACAACACCCATGAATTATAGCAGTTTGGCAATGAACTGACCAGTTGCTTCTCACAGCCTTTAATAACAATCATCGACATCTTCACAGCACAATAGAAATTAGAGATGCAAGAGGCCTATTAGCTCATCCAGAAAATACAGGATTGTTCCCTATGGGATAATTGCTGATACTCTGTTCAAAGTAGATTTAAAGCTGTAAAACAAGGTACCCTCTTTAGCGAGATTACTCAGCATGGCTGAGAACTCAGTTCCATAAACATTAAATTTAAATGTTTCCTCTCTTTAAAAAGGTTTAAAGCTAGTCCAAGGTTCCTGGTCTCATTTGGATTCCCCTCTAGCCAGCAGAGAGGAGGGTCGGTCCCTTTTTGCAACAAAGCAGCAGCGTAGAGAAACTGACCTCTGGTTAACATCCTTCACAAACAGCTTTCCCCAACCCAGCTAGTCTTTGTCAGCTCTTATCCGTAACAGTACCCTCAGCATCACCTCTTCCCTTAGGCACTACACAGGTTTATGCCCCCTTGTTCACCTCAGAAGTCCTTCAGCCATCTATGAATACATGGATTTCAATCTAAATATTAATTCAGTAAATCAGATCTTCTAACTCAGTGGACACTCCTTGCACACGCCTGTGCACCACATGCACTTCGGCCAAAACTCAACAGGGACACATGGTAACACTGCTAGCACAAGGACTGGCAGCTCTAGTGTAAAATACAGAACCTCACTGTGTCCTGTACTAGGGCAGAGGCTCTGGCACAAGGCTGTGCCTAGTTAAATGTTCTTCCTGCAAGCAGTGTCAGTCCTGGCTCCAAATACCAAGCTGTACTTCCAACACTCAGCAAATCTCCATGTACTACATCAGCTACTTGGAAAGTCCAGAATTAATATGTATACTGGAAGAGCTCAGATGAGCCTGGAAGGGAGGGAAGAAAGGGATTATAAGATTTGCAAACACGGGAATCATAGCAAGTATTCCACAATTCAGGCTAAATCCAAAGCCTTACAGCAACCAACCAACAGCATCTCCCTTCGTGCCCAGGAAGGTCAGCAATGTCATCCTAAGAAATTTGTGTGTACAGGTGGAAACAGCAACATTTAGGACTAACTAGAACTTCAACAGATTCCAAGTGATGAACCAAGAAGTCTTTAGCCTGTATATTCAGGCAGTAAATATTACCAACAGATTTTTTTTAAAGCAAGTGGTAAGAAGGTGACCTGATTTTCCACATGATGACATGGAGCTGGAACTCTGGAGAAGGTACCCCTCAACTCCCAAGCATTCCATGAAAAGCCCTTGCAAATTGTAACAAGTTACCATAGAATGGGTAATGACCGCAGGAAAAGCTTCGAGAAGTTTTCCATGTGAGGGACAACAGAATGTAAAAATCAAACTTCTTTGGTTTTGCATCTCTAACTTTATTTCCCCTAGAGGAGTTTCTTCTGAACTTGCTTCTAACACTCTTCCAAAACCTGTAGTTAAAACTAACATGTCCATGACTAAGACCACACTCTTACACACAACAAAATTCCCTGCTATTAATTTAGTTATGCTAATGTGGGCCATATTCTTCTTGCTTAATAGAAGCATTCAGTGAGTGCTCTAACGACTTTTCTAAAACAAGCCCTGATCCCTACAACTCTGATATCCAGAGACATTTGCAAGAAGGATTTCAACCAGTTAGCTGCATACACTCACTCCAGGAGCTTGTTACACTATCATAGGAAATTGGGACTATAAGGGACAATGTCTTGTGTAGAGCAAGCCACAGAACCTTATGGGTCCCCAAACCCTGCAAATCCCAAGACATTTCTCAATTCTTCTACAAAAACCTCAGACCTTCACCACAAAAGTCAAAACACAACAAAATCCTACAAAAAAAAAAGTCTTGCAATATACCATAGGAAGACAGGAAAAGAAAAGTCAAGGGCACTGCCATTGTCCTCCAGCCTTGCAATAATGAGGAATATGTGAAATGCCAAGATGAATGTCTGAGGTAGACCACAGAGAGCAGTAAACTATGTCAGATATATGGCATCTCTCTGCTCCACAGCTGAATGAGGAGACACTTTGCAAACATTCTTCTATTTCAGCACAATTTCCAAAACTTTTTCACAATAAGAATTGTCAAATGTTTGGCTTGTATTAGCATTTTCAGAGATCAGGCCACCCCAAAAAATCCAGTGACTAAAGAACAAGAGCAGAACTAATAGTTCTCTGTTATAGACCTCTCTATTCCACTCAGAAGAGCAACCATGTTATAGTGTAGAGTGATGCTTATACATCTAACATGGTTCTATAAAATCCTGCAGGATGAAAATTACAAAGAAGCAGCAATTTCCTATTTCTGCCACAAGATTAAAATATAGTTTGAGGGTGTAAGATAAAGTTCTTTTTCACCTGAAGAATTACCTTCCTTTTGGGAAAGACAAACCAACCACAATGACAGAGGAAAATCTGGAAGTAGCAGCAGAAAAAGACATTAGAAGTGGCAATCACCATGTCAGACACACTACACTGCAGGGAAAGGGAAGAATGGCCAGATAATGAAATTACAGGGCATTGAAAATGTCAAAGAGCGACAGTGCTCGACCATCATTCACAGGTTATATGAGGCATTAACATGCTGATATCCCATTCCAATGACAAAGATGACAACAAGAACAGAAAATAGTCCAAAATGAATCTGTTGCTGCGACCAAGAATTTAATGAAACAGGGAGATGAGCAGAAAATTAATCTTACTTTCACTATGCAGCCTTCAAACTGGAAGCTGCTGACCCTGTTCAGAAATAGTAATATCCCAGGGATGCATTATTTTACTTTCCTTATCTATAATCCCCCTATACTTATGAGTCATAAGCACAAAAAGGGGTATCAAGTCTCACAAACAAGGACCAACCTTGTTGGCAGGCAATGACACACAAGCTGCACCAAGGGAATTTCCAGTGAGGTATAGAGGAAAAAGTCCTTCACAATTAAGATGATCTAGCACTACATCAGGGGCCCAGGGCAGTTAAGGGTATCTCTGTTCTTGGAGGTATTCAGAACTTCACTGGACAAGCAACTTGATCTATCATCACTGCTTGGTCCAGCTTTGAAGCTGATCTGAGCAGGAGCTGGACCAGAAGACCTTCAGAGCCTGCCCCCAACCCCAATCTAAATTGCTCTACAATTTAGTGAGTTCTGCTCCCTTCAAATAGAAACATCATTGACCAATACAAGCAGCACACACAGCAGTAAAGCCAGATGACCCTGTGTCTATCACACAATATACTTTTCTATTTTGGTTTTGATAGCTGATCACTATAAAAAAAAATCTTCTGCCACCATTCCTCCTATAAAAAAAAAGAAAAACAAAACCAACAAGTCAAGGTAAATCAAAAGGATTAGAATGTACAGTCTGTTTATGGAAAGCCACCTCTGGAGACAGTCTAGTGGGTTGTAACACACCTTGGAACAGATGCAAATGACCTGTCAGATCCCAGACAGCTCCATGTGGAGTCATGTATACCTCTACACATCTTCTCCAGATCTGGCATCCCAGCAGGACAGGGTAGCACCATCCCAGCAGTAGCACACTAAGCAGCCAAGGTCATTCTAGGAGCACTTCCTCTGCAAAGTCAGATGCAGCAGAAATTATGCACTGTACGCCAAACCTCCATATTATGAGGTTCTTCCTAGGTCTGGTACAGAAATGGTCCCTTTTTTTCAGCCTAACCTAGCAAACTCTCTTATTGGAAGTCTGGGAACAAGACTGCTTCAAAAGATTTTATAAGGTCAGACCTAAAGAGCAGTTGATAAGGCTATCTGGCCTCCACACTAGTTTCTTACAGAGCTTGAATTTTCTGTTTCAAAATTGTATTTCAAGAAGCAAGTTCACCTAAATTTAATCAGGAACACATCTTTGAAACATACAAAGCAAAATGAACAAAAAATACTGTTCACTTTATTTGATCTGGGAAACATAAATAAAGCGGTTTCCTCATTCCATTGAGAAGATGTAAATTTAATTTCAGATGATTCTATTTGTTTTTCTGTAAACAAACAAATAAAAAAATAAAGCTTTGGAAAAAAAACCTTGGAAACACTATCTCTTAGCACATATAGTATGTGCCTCTCCCTGCTGACCCATATCACTTTTAATACGATGGATTTCAAAGGCTGCTGGAATTCAATCTGCTAAAGGTGTGTAATAAATGAGGCTTTGCAAAGTGCATAGGTTCAGTAAGCACAAGTATCTGTACATCCGTGCACATGAATGATTCACTGAGAGATGTGCATAAGACAAAAGACCTATCCCTATCAATTTCCAGAGGGCCAAGTTTTCACCACAGTTTATTGGCAGCCAATCTGCCAGACAACAAACTCAACCAGCCTGTGAATCAAAAATCTTTCTACTCACGAGACCATCATTCTTTCCTTGCACAAGTGCTTTTTGCATCACTTCCAGAAATTAAAGGTCACCTGTTGCTCAATTAAGGAGTAGATAAGATCTATCACCTCAGGGCATTCTTAAATACAAGCATCTTGTTCATCACAAGGGCATAATATTCTTCTCTCTCCACAGAGCAATAGTCATGGATCATGTGGCAAGAACCAGCCTTGGAGATAGGTAGATGGATAACCAACCATTGCAAGCTTCATGGTCATATAACCAATACCTTACGGAGATCTATGGATAGACATTACAGACCTTGGCAATGTCTTTGTGCCCATCTGCCACAGCAGCAGAACAAATGAACAACAGCCAGCTTTGAGCTGCAGCCTACACTCCTAATTATACCTGAAGTGTCTCCTGGCAACATCCAGGACCGGCTGAAATAACACTTACCTGTCAAAACACATCAGATACAGCACTGCCTCTTTAAAACCTACAAGTGGCTTCACATTCCCCGTGTTGTAACTTACTGCCCCCTCTATGGGGTCACTCCTGAGTTCTGGACAACACACGTGTTGGTCTGTGTGTCTTGCACCTACAGAGCCCATGAAGTGACTGCCTAACACAGGCACTGTGCTGAGGGAGAGTTCTACGTTCAGACTGAATAAAGTGAATTTGCTTTAAAGTCAGATCACACTTGCTTTGCCACCGTGTACTTAAAAATCATAAAGACGTTACACAACTTAAGATAACTCTGGGGCTGCCCTGTAAGTAACGTAGTCCCTAGAGATACAGACTGTGAACACTTCAAGCATAAGCATAAAGACAACACAGTGGACTGACAATTTCAAGTAGTTTCTAAAAGTTGTTACTAGAAGGGGAATGTGAAGTCCCCTCTGTCTTGCCCACATCTGATTTCTAACACAGTTGTTCCAAGTGATCTTCAAAATGAACACCTGAGATGCAGCACCACTTTCCTGCCAGTTAGTAGTACTGCTATTCTGCATAAACTGTTGGGGCTGCAGGGGCTGGCTGACTTGACAGGAACATTAGAGAGCAGCAGCACAACCTGAGCAATGTGCAACTACAGCCTTAGATGGAGGACACATGGCAGAGAGCACCAAAAATAAGCAGAACTCACAAATAAGGGGGAATTTCACAGTGCACTGCCTCTGTTCCAGCTTCATTACATCTGAATGTCAGGAATAAGCTTTAGCAACAGGCAGAACTACTTCAGCAGCTCAGAGAGTTCCCTCAAACAGCTACACACTTAGAGTTCAGACATTTTAAATGCCTTTTGTTTGCCCCAGCTGCAAGGTAGTAAAATGAGTTAACCTTCAAGTCTGGATTAGGATAAAATACTTACAGATCCAGTGGACATCTAGGAATTACCCTGCGCTGCACAGAAGCAACCACCACTGGGAAGATAGAAAGCAGAGCCCCATCTGACTCCATCTCCAAATGGACTGAAGTCCCTCACTGCTCTCCCACCTATTTCTGTCCTGACACAGCTCAGCTCTCCTCCCCAGCTGGAACTCTTACCTCTGCCCCACACACAGGCCTTGTTGCCACGTATTACCACACAAGAACAGTCTTCATTTCTCCCCAAGCTGTACATAGCTTAATCCAATCCTCACTGCACCTTTTCCTGCACAAACTACTTACACTTGTTTTTCTTATCATTCTTCCCACAGTCTGAAGTAAAGACATAATCACCATAGTTGTGGTGTTATCCCACAGAAATTACTTTGTCACAGGAAAAAGTGCAAAAATACAATTACTTGCTTTAGCTACAGTGGCTTAGAGGGACCCAGTTTTGAAGCACTTCCTATTTTCTAGGAAAAGACTTAAAACTTGTACCTAGAAGTATAGCAATCAGAAAGTAATTGTACTTCTCCTTAAAGAAAACCCATGAAAAGGATACTAGGTCCTATCTGTCAGAATATACAGTATTTCTGTCTGAAAAGCCTACATGCATTTCTATCAGGGGAAAAAAATGTGACAAGCCACTCCAAAGGACTTTGTTTTTTAACAAGCCTGAAGGATACGCCAAGCTACACACCAATTCTTGCAAATCAAGATGTCATTGACATTCACAGGGATGCAACTAGAACCAAAACCTGCTGCCACTGCTGCAACAAGTGACAAACCTAGAGGATTATTCAGGTTTGGAAGTACAGAACAATTGAACTAGTGAGCTCTGGAGGTCTCTAACCAACATCCATTCCTCAGGCAGGATCTAGTTTCTCTGAATCACTCTCAAAAGGTATTTTCCTGGTCTGTTTTTAATAATCTCTGATATAAGAAAGTACACCTCCAAAGAATCTATCCAGGCTTTACTCACTATAAACCTTTTCATATGAACTGACTTTCTCCTTTCTCTGTCTTGCTGTATTTTAAGCATATGATTTCTCATCCAGTACTTCACAGATATAGGTAAAATATTATTTACCTTTAACAACCATCTTTTACATTAATTTTATCATCCCTCTACAGTTTTCTTTTCTTTAGCTGAACAACTCCAATCCATTCAAGTTCTCCCTGTAAGACAGGTTACCCTGTGTTTGAGCATCTTCATTTTTCTCTGA